AGAGATGGAGATGGAGATGGAGATGGCGTGTGATGAGATATATGTGGTTCGTGAAGGAGAAACTTTGCACACAATCAGTGACAAATGTGGAGATCCTTTTATTCTCCAACACAATCCTCATATTAATGATTCTGATGATGTTTTTCCTGGTTTGGTCATCAAGATCACTCCTTTTCGCCATACTATTCATCCCAATTTTCTCCTCTTTTGAATTCTCTTCTTCTTCTCCTTCTTTTTTTTTTTTCTCTTTTGAAGAACTTTTTGGTGGGTGTATATAGTCTTTGCAGTTTTACCCTTCTTCTTGTAAATAAGGTAAAGTAAACTTTGTGTTCAAGTAATGCTGTCTCTTTTGAGTACTTAATATGGTATATGCATTAAAAGAAATGCATTTGACATCTTGTCAAATTTGTTGTTGCTTTGTTTTATACATTAAGTTGATATTCAACTTTCAACGTAAATTTTAGAAAGTTTTTTATAGGTCTTTTGAATTCAATTTTGTGCCTAATAGATTTATAAAACTTTTAAAGGATCTCTTAAACATTTAGAAATCACATAGAAATAACGGCAAAAGTTTAGATACTAAATTGTTAATTTACCATGATTCTAAATCATAAAGAAACTTTTTTTTTTTTTTCGTGGGGAATTTTTAAATATATTTTTGTTTAGTTTAACATATGGAATCTTCAACTTCAAATATGGTAGTTGGTGTCTTATATCGTAGTTACATTTGAATGGACGATTCTAGAAATGGGTAGAAATTACTTTCATCCTCTCTTTACTGGGTATTGAATCATAATGTAGTGGTAAAACATCACTCTTTGCTACATTAAAAGAATGTATGTATCGTATCAACATATGGACAACTGTTAAAACGAGCATATAGTTCAGTGGTAATTGACATATATCTCCAATAAGGAGGTTGTAAGTTCGAACCCCAAAAAAACATGGACAATTGCTTGTTCATATCAAAAGAACTAAATTAAAACTTTAAAACAAACAAAGCCAAATTCGTAATTTAACCTAATGAATACTCTCGAAAGCCATATCACAGAAAGTTAGTGAAGAAACATAATATATATTACCAAGGAAATGAGGGTTGAGCTTCAAATTCAAATTAAATGGACAAGAAARAAGACATACATGGATGAAAACAAACAGAAAATATGAGCATTTATAATTTTAGAATAAGAGTAGGTTCATGTTTAATTCTTATTTTTGGTTTTCGTTTCTTATTTCTAGTTTTCATTGTTTTTTTCTTTTTTAAGAAATAGACATCTTTAGTAATTTGTCCCCTTTCTTATTTCTAAATTTCGAGAAACATTAAAAAAAGGGCTAAATTTTGGAAACTACTTCGTTCTTTTTTTCTATTTTTATTTTTTAATTTTCAATAATATACTATGTGGATCATCGTTCTGCGCACGCATATGAAATTAGGGTCCCTCATCCAGTTATAAATCTCATTTTAAGCAAAAACTCTATTTTTTTTTTCTAAATTTTAAATTAAAAAGTTTTGAAAATTTATTATATTTTTAAAGTTAAGAATATAATTTAGATATTTAGATCAAAGAAATTTATATGGTAAATTATAATTCTTTTTTTATTTTTTATTTTCTAAATTAAAAATATTTTGAAAATTTATTCTTTATTTAGAGTTAACAACTTATATATATATTTTTTATAAATAGTATTTAAATTTTCAGATCAAAATTTGATATTGTAAATATGAATTATATTCTTCGAGTATATGTTAAATGTTTTTATATTATTTATACTGAATTTAATTTTAATTTAAAGTATATATTCTTGATCAAGAGGTTGTGAGTTCGAATCCAATTGTACTCAAAAGAAGAAAAATAAAAAATAGAAACAAGAAACAGGAAATAATTATCAAATATATTTTTGTTTATGTTTCTTTTCTTCCAGAACCAAAAAATAGATATCGTGACCCAACATATTTATGTTTCTAGTTCTAATTCAGGAAATAGTTATCAAATATATTTTTGTTTATGTTTTTTTTTCTTCCAGAACCAAAAAATAGAAATTGTGACCCAAAATATTTATGTTTCTAGTTCTAATTCAAGAAATAGTTATCAAATATATTTTTGTTTATGTTTCTTTTCGTCGAGAACCAAGAAATAAAATTGTGACCGAACGAATTTCTATTTCTAGTCTAAAAAAATTAAAAACAAAAAATAAAAAACAAGAACGTTACTAAACAACGGGACTAGAATGACTAGTATGACTCTAGTAAACTTGTTTGATATTGGATTCTAAAGCAGAGTGTTGCAAGCCCATTCGGGATCTTCACACAAACAATAATTTCTTTAAAGATTAAAGAAGGAATTAGACTACTTAAAATAAGATTTTAGAAATCTGGAGGAATTAGAAATATTTTTTTCTTTTTAAAGGTGGCCAGTTTTTTTAATCAAATTATTTGTCTGACTCATAAGTATCTACGTACGTGCCAAGTAAATCGAAAGGATTAAAGAGATTAAACTCCATGATGGTTACTTACCTAGAAAATAATTTCTTATGTATTTTCTTGGCAACCAAATATAGTAGGATACGACAGTTGTCCGGTAAAATTAATCGATGTGCGTACAAATTGACCCGAACACTCGCAGATAAGAAATAGTATAAAACTTCATTTGAATGGGTTGAATATGGGAGATAATCTCCCTGCATGATTGAGATGAGTTAGAAAATTGAAAAAAATCTTTTTCCCTCGTTTTGTCTTTGGTTGTAAGGATGGAGACAACTGGGGCATATATTTGAAATTATATATTAATATAAATTTAAAATTGTTCATTTTAAATATAGACAAAGATGGTCGGTACAAAATAAAATTTAAAAAACATCTCAAGGGTTTATTTAATATTTATTTGAAATTATTTAGAATAAAACCTTTTGTGTAAATTAAAAAGATTATCCACCACTATTATTTAAGAAAAAAAAGAAAGAAGGAAAAAAAAGGATTATCCACTGTCAAGTTAGCATAGCTCAACGATAATTGACATATATTCCATATTCTAAATAAATAAATAATCTTTCAAGGATTTATTTAATTTTTATTTGAAATTATTTAAGAATATGGGTACGGTAGAAATTCTAAGCTCTAATATTAAATTGGCCATGATCCAAATATTTCTCTATCTCACCATTAACATATTTTGACATAAAAAAAAAAAAAAAGCATACAAGAACATCTAATTTGAAGAAGAAAATCTCCCATTCATTCCCATAGAGATCATGTGGGGCATGAAGTCGGTAAGATGTGACCTTGGATAGTATCAAACGTTTTCCTAAAAATTCTCATAATTGGAAGTAAGAAACTTAAGGAGGAAAGGGAGGGAAAAAAAAAACTCATAATTGGAAGTAAGAAACTCGAGGAAAGGAAAAAATAAAAATAAGAAAAATAAAAGATTTAAATCTCATCGATCAAAAGGTCGAATTTGAATTCACATTCCCTTTAACTTTAAAAAAAATAATTATTTGTTCTATTTTACACTTTAACTTTAAAAAAATAATTATTTTAGTTCTTATAAACCTTTATTTTGTGTCTAACAAATTAATTAATGAGGTTGAGTATGTGCACTAGATCAACTAGACATAGATCAAATTAATTAGTGTGAAATCATAGGGCGGTTTAGATCAACTAGTAAAAGATATATTTATTGACCTTTCGAATTTGAATTCACATTCCCATATCTTATTAAAACTAAAAAGAAAAAAAAGGTGAAATCATATATACGGTAAGCACTAGGAAGCGATATTGGATGACAAAATAATATAGCAAGGATCAAAATAGTTATTTTTAAAAATTAAGTAGACATTTTTAACTATCATAAGTGACTCATTGGTCTAAAGGGAATAATATAAAGTGGAAATTGATTCAAACTCTATGATGGCTATCTACCTTAAGAATTAATTATTATGTGTTTCCCGCAATAAACGTCGTAGGGCGGTGTTACCTCGTGAGATTAATAAAAAAAGAGTAGATAGACTTATAAGCTAAGCGGATTCGGATACTCACGAATGAAAAAAAAAAGAGTAAATAGACTAAAATGGAACAAAATTTCTTAAAAAAAAAAAGAGGAACAAAATTTAAGAAGAATAAAATTTAAAATTCATAACTAAAATAGACATTTTAAAAGTTTAGAGTCTAAAATGAAATTTATGAAAAAAAATGGAGAGAAGTATGATATGGGTTGGTAATAAAATAAGTAATTGATAGGTGAGAATTTTACTATCCTAGCCCTAAAATTAAAAGCTTCATAAAAGTAATATTAGTTTATTCTGTTTATATATAGTTTGGTACCACTTCCACATCAAAATGTAGACATATAGAATAAAACATTAAAATTTTAGATTAATTAGACTTATACCTTTATCATATTTTAATTAAAAAACTTGTCCGTTAGTGACATTTAATAACTGTTTAAACGTCACTTTGTCTTATAAGAAAAGAAAAATAATAAAAAAGTGTCATTTTTGGGCTCTCTGCTACCAACCACGTTGGCGTGGGGCCACACAATAAAAATGTTCTACGTTTTATTTTAGCAAAGCATAACTCTATGGTTATTCTCTCAAAAAAAAAAAAACTCTATTGTTATTTTGCTCATTTAGAAGTTCCAGCAGGTAAAATTTGTTTCTTCCTCTTCAACAACTGCAGTTCTTGATTTTCAATAAATTAGGCTTTCTTAGGATAAGGATTTTGTTTTTTATTTTCAACTTCTAAAAATTATATATGTTTGGTTTAGGATAAAAATATATTTGAATTTTTACTCAAATTTTGAAAATATAAACAAAATTTAAAAACTTACTTTCTACTAGTTTTTAGATTTTAACTTTTTGAAAATATTTTAAAGAAATGGATAACCAAAACAAAATAAATGAATAAAAAGGTAAAAAAAGTACTTATACTTAATTTTTAAAAATAAATAATTATCAAATGGGAGGTTCATTTTTATATTTATTACTTTATTGACCGATTAAGAGGGTTTCTCTCTTGATTGGATCATATGATATTAAATTCTTTTTTTTTTTTGAAAAATTATAATCGTGCATTCTTTGAAAAAGTTAATGGAAGTTTTAATAATGTGAGGGCTGTTGTGTATTTGACTAACACAACTTTAATTTATATCTTCTTACTGTGTTTGTCTATATATATATATATATAGATTCTTCAAGAGAATTCTCAGAAAAAGTGTATATATATTCTTTTTTTTTCCTTCAACAGATAAAATATTCCAAGTGATTTATTATATTCATTCTCATCTCAGGATTTAAAAAGGATAGCATTTTGTTCAAGAATAAAAAAATCAGATTAAAAAAATTTGATATAAATTCATTGATTATTGACTTATAATGATAGATTATTTTCCACTGGTACAGGGGAAAGAGAGGAATATAAATATATATTAAAAWTTTTTTTTCTTTAAGAATAGCGAAAGGAAAATCTTAACAAATCATGTAATAAAATGGTGTAGGGAATATTTAACATTTTTCTAAACTAAATTATTGTATATTTTATTAGTATATTAAAATAAAATATAAAGTATTTTACTATTTATCAACCTTATGTGTATGGAGTGTGTTAGAGGGAACAAAAGAATAAGCTAGAAGTGATAGTATTGATTAATTTTTTTAAAAAAATTAGTCTCTTCTATTTTTAACGATTTTCACTCTTTTCCTTAGTAAATGTAAATATCAACCGATGATAAACTTACCTGACTAATATTTAATGACTTTACAGACATTTAGAATAAAGAATTGGGCCATATTTAAAAAGGAAAAAAAGTAAATATTTCTACTCACTCCCTGGACAGGAGAAGGATTTTGTTTTTTATTTTTGATTTTTTTTTTACCTCTTAGAATGCGTGATTCCTCTTATAAATTTCTCTCAATGCAGTATACATCATATCAGATAAGATGTAAGTTAATTATTAACTAATTTAAACATTCAACAATAAGAAAAGTATAATTTAAAAACGGTCAAAATATAATAACTTAAATTGAAAATTAACCATAGAGACTAAATATATGGAAGAAATACTCAAATATTTAAGAAGTAGAACACATATTTTATTAATTAGCCATACAAATATATTGGAGATTTGCCACAAAAAGTGATCATTATTGGCAATAAACTCAAAGGCAACTAAAACAAATCAAAAGCAAGCACACAAACAAGGAAGTGGGCTAAGCTGTTCAAACGAATATCTAGAAATGAAAAATAAACAAACTCAAATACCCACAAAGAAAAAAGACACCATTTTTCTAGCTATGAATTCAAAGTTTTTTGAGATTGGATCCCAAAGACCTAAATGCCACAAACCATCCCTCTTGCGTAGGGTGCACCGAGTCCCAAAACAAGGCTAATTTAGGATCTTTGCACAAAGTGTACTTTTTGTTCCCTTTTTTGTCCACACTTCCACATGAAAACTCACTACTTACTCCAAAACAACATGGCTTCAATGGGGTCTCAAATCTTGGCCTGGCTTTATAAGGGCTTCCTTTGTTTTGGATGATGGACAAAAGTGTGCCATAGATATCAAGAATGAAGAAAGGAGATCCCTTTGTTTCTTTGTTTAGTTTCTCCACAGCTTGCTTTAGTAAAGCGTTGTGAAATTCAACCAATGAGTCCATAGTTGCATTGCATTTGCTGAATGAGGATGCAGCTGTGAGCTCGGGAAGACATCCCAGTGGCCCTAACCCCATCATAACTACTTTCCTCACTCCCAACCCGTGGATGCGTTTCAAATTTATAGCGATTTGGTTTACTACTGAGACGATGAATGGTTTGAATCCCTGTAATGGAAAGATCGAACTTTTAGACATGACATTGAAAGGTTAGAGATTAGACATAAATTGAATGAGCTTGTGATAAATATATATATTTGACTCGCCTCCATGGATCCATTTGTGGCTTGGTAAAAAGAATAGTCGTTGCCTGAGACGGAGACGAGGGCGATAGAGGAGTGGATGTCATTCAACGTGAATATAGAGTTGGCAATGAGCTTTTGGAAGAAGTTGATCTGAGTCGTCATGTTTGGGAAAGGAAATGATGTATCGAATATGCCAGTTCCACCAAAAGCGAAGTTGATACCATTTCTGGGTCTTTTAACTCCAACATTTTGCCAAGTAGTAAATGGGACCGGAGACTTGAGCCCAAAATATCTTGCTACATGTTTTACATATAAAACCTTACATTAAATCTCTTTTGGCATTTTGAACAAAAAGAAGTAGCTAATGTGTTTTTAAGTTTAATTTTTAAAAACAGAAAATAAAAAACGAAATAACTAGTTATCGAAGAGACTCGTCTAAATTATTAAATTTCGATCTCATTATAAAAATGAGTCTTTTCCTGATTAACAGGGTAAGAGAAATACATTGAAAGTAACATTAATAATTATTAAATTATGTCTTAAATCTGCAAACCATGTGACTAGATCATGAAAGTGTCTACATTTACAAGAAAACAAGAAAAAAAGATCTCGAGGATAAAACTCTTTTTATCTTTACACAAATTTCAGAATAAATAATTTTTCTCATAGATTAAGAAAAAATTGTTTATTAAATTTAAAAAGGGTTGATGCACAAAATTTCACTTTACTTTTAAATAAGATCTCTATTCTTCAACCAATAATATATATACATCTTTGTCGATCAAAATAGCTTAACGAGTTAAAGATACATATATTAAAGGATGAAATTGAGCCTTCACATATTGCACTAATATATATATATATACATACATATACACATACATACACTCTTCTAGGGAATAAATTCATTGCCGACCAATACTTTTATATATTAAATATATCAAGACAATCAACCACTCTCGAGTCTTGGACTTTCTGCGATCATTAATCCATTTCTTTTCCAATTATTTATTTATTTTTGTTTCATATCATTCTTTCATTAGTTATCTTTCTTTGTTCAAAATATCAATAACCTAAAACAATAACGAGTGGGGGATCAAAAAGGAAATTCCCACCTGGGTTAACCAAGACCTTTTTTTTTAATAATCTTTTTTCCTTCGTTCATCTCAGATTTGACTTTCTGCTCACCATTTGTTTGAAATGTTTCCTTTCTCCAAAATGATCTAAAAGCTAAGAAGAGAGATAGAGAAAGATTATATATATTTACCCAAGTAGTCAGTCAAAACACGGCCATCGGATAAACGACCCGAAGGTACACCAGGAAAAGTAATTCCATAAGGAATATTCCGAGCACTAGAAGTGTTGACATTGATGTTGCCGGTGTCGACGTAGGAATCCCCAAACACGAAGAGCCTGGTCGGCCGGAGATGAAAATGACGATGATGGTAACGAGCTGATCCTTGCCCTAAACAGAATCAAAAAGAAAACATTGGAACTCCATATTATCAAAAAAAAACACACAACGAAAAAACTTGCATAGAGCTAAGAAAGCAAATAAATTCAACCTAAGAGGAGAGAGAAAAGAGAGAGGGAGAAGATGAGTGAAAACAATAGCTTCTTTGAGTCCATATTCTGCTAAAAAATCACTACAGAAGAAAACCCAAAAGTGCTTTTTGCAGTTTGATGTTTAAAATGCTCCCATGCATATCAATATATATAGTGGGTTTAATGATGGCCGGTCCAACCGCGTGACGGTTGAACCGGTAAATGTAAGAAAAATAACGATTTGAAATAATACGACTTGGGCCTTCTTTTTGTTCTTTCAGCAATGGCGACTTCCACGTTCCCAATAAAAAAGAAAAAAAGAAACACAAAATAATAATAAAGTATTTGTGAAACCACGTTCATAATATTAATTATTTGGTTAGGTCAATAGAGATCCCTCGAGTATAGTATATGATCACAATCATTCTTTCTTCAATAAATTAATTGCATTTTTTTTAATTATGGGGGCTTGCTATCTATGATTTAAGCTGAACAATATTTGCATTTATTTCTTTCTATTATGAGGAAGAAAACTTTTGGAAATAAATATGTATTATATAATAAATTAATCTCTTTTTTGTGATAATAAATAACAGCCATCAATTGAACCCAACATGTGCCCCCTTCTTCCAATATGTGGATCCTTCCAGATGTAGAAATGTATGATTACAATTTCAAAATTATCTATAATATAAAGGTTGGCGTAACATCACCTCAATAATGAAACAATTGGGTTGACAATCACACAGTTACCCACATGATTCATATTTCCATGTGAAAAGAGTCATAATTATTTGGGTATAGATGAGTGTGTTGGTGACCAAAAAGGGAGCCAACTTCATCTTTTTTATTTTTTATTTTTTAATAACGGTGTAATGGAGGATTAATAATTTTAAAAAAAATTTTCAGAATCCAAAATATTGAGTGACTTAAACCGCAGATCTTTCTAACTATAGTTCATTATCTGAATTGAGAAATACAATAACCAACACTAAAAGCTTTGCTGGTGATACCATAAGACCTAAAACCTTTCTCCTGATAATAAATACCTTATTTATTAAATTGAATTTTGCATACCAGAAAAAAATATCAAGTGTGTCATACTTTAAATAACAATTCATATTATTAAATTAAAAATATTAAGTTCAAAAAATAGTCTCTTTTCAAACAACGTTTAAAAAGTGGCGAATTTAATGAACACCCAATACACAGAATAATATAAATATTATTTTAACATATCAGGTACAATGCAGTGTACTAAATTATTTATAAGAAAGTTACTGATATATATATATAAACCTTCTCATCATTTGATTTTTTGTGGGTTGGTAAAAAGGCATAATAATATTTCGAATTTCTTTTGCGGATTCTCGCCGACCAAACAGAAGGAGAATGAGGAAAACACTACATTTTCTAACGTAAGATTAAAAAAGTAAATGCTTTTTTTTTTTTATGGGCACATTTTGAACAGAACTTATCAAAACCTACCTAATAATTATTTTCTTATGGGCAACACTTTGTGTATTTAGAACAATAATGGAACTTCTCCCGGGGAAGCCCCAACATTTCATTGTGACAGCCCACGATTGACTATCGAAATTCATAAATTATATGTGGTTTGATTTGAAAAGTAAAATTAATTAATGCTATACACAATTCCCATTACCTAAAAAATTTATAGGCCACATGGCTTCCCATGTCTCAATGTGACCAATTTGAGCATATATTTTATAGGTTTCTTAATTTAATTTATAATTTATAATTCATAATTCATAATTATGTTTATGAACATTACTTATTTATATAATAATTTTTTTCTGTAGAGATTAAACCTTCCAGCTAAATATATATATATATATATATATATATATATATATATATATATAGGTGCTTTAAAACCTATCTAGATTGACTCCAATATAGATTCTCCGAAGCTAAGAAAAAAATATGGAAAATTTAACCAAGTCTAAATAGATACTAAAATATATATATATAGTTAAAACAGATATCATTATGATAAATAATTCAATATAATCTAGTGTGCCCATAGTATATATGGATCTAGATCTTGGACTTTGCCGTCTGTATCACCGTGCATTATTTGGTTTAAATATTATTTTAGTTTATTTATTTATTTAATTTTTTAGAATCAATTTCTTGTAGTTTAGCTATGGATTCCTACTGAGGATTTGTTGCTGGGACTGAATAACACGGTGACCAGTGCACGTTTAAAACCCAACACTTGTTCATATACTTTTTGAATTGGTTCATTTTGATCCATATATTTTCAAAAAAAAAATATATATATATATATATATATATATATTTATCTTTGTACTTTTAACTTTTATCCATTTTATTTTCAAAACGTCAATTTGGTTCCTATACTTTTAAAAAATGATTATTTTGATATTGTTTGTAAAATTTTAACACAAATTCTATATTCTATACTTAATGAAAACTCAATAATACGAATTACTACTTATGACTGTGTCAACAAACCTAGTGTGTTGTGAAATTTTAGTAAGAAAAAATGAGATGAGAAAGAAGAATATAATCAAAGAATAAAATTAACCAGCGCTGGTGGCGACTGACAGGTTGCCAAACTCTTTTGCAACAAGCCATATCTGTTGTATGAATTTTAATTGAACATTCATTTTTTTTTCTCTGTTCTTAATTATAATACTTTCAATAGTATGCAGTTAATTTTAATGGGGAAAAGAAACGATGGGTTGAAATTCCACATTTCACAAAATTTTATGCGCATAAAATTAATTTTCGTCGAAAAATATGACTTTTGCCAATATAAAATTTACTTTGGTCGCAAATTATGGCCACAAAATTCAAATTTGGTCACAACATGATGAAATATGAATTTCGCCATGAGTAATATGTAGCGATGAAATTTGAATTTTCATTAGAAAAATTTTCATCTGAAAGGTTAAAATTCTTGTGCAGTAACATGTTCGGCAATTCCTATAAGCTTCTTTATCATAATATTAAAAACCCTAAAAAAAAAAGATATTTGGTAGGTAGTTTACAGCCCTATACATCCTAACCCAGAAGCGATGATAAAACCAATTTTCTCGTCGAACATTACAAAATTTAATCATCATGCGGTTTAGCACTAAGCACTGTACCTGTAAATGCATACAAATATTTCTCCATCTTGAAAGCGACCTTCATCATATATAGATATTAATCTCACAAATGGTATAAATGCCTGTCATGCTCATCCGATGCCATCAAGGCCGAGCCATAAATTAATTGTTTTCAAAATCAAGCGACACACACTTTTCTACATATATATATATATATTTTTAAAGAGCCGGCAAAATTAGAAGAAAATTTTAATATATAATTCTCCTAATAAAATAAATATATTCACCCCTAACCCAAGTATTTAAAGGGGTTAGGATGAGGTGGCAAGATAATCAAGCAAAAAATTATGTAATATGTCGTTGAAATTCGATATTTTCTTTGTTTCTATCATCAAGGCAGTCAAAGGGTCAACCACATATAATTTGTCTTGGAAGATCCAATCCATTCAAATTAAAATTGAATGTCTAGCACATCTTACTAAGGGAATCGAATATCGACTACAAAGCGAGATGGTATTATAATATGAGGACAAGTGACTGATCAAGTCACGAAACTTTTACATTTTAGTCAACGGGCTAAGATCATAAATTAAATTTTTAGTCCCTCAAGTTAGTGACTAGGGGACGTTTCCGGTAGTTGAACTAGCTTTCCTCCTTATCCATTTTTTTCTCTTTCCTTTCTTTAAACCCTTCCCTCCATTGATCTCTTTTCTTTCCCTTCCAAGCCATTTCTTTTTTTCTTTTGATTTTCTCCCTCTTGTTCCTCTTTTCTTTCTTTCTTTTCCCTCTCTTCCCAACCTCTCTCGGCTGCATAACCACATACATAGTAGCATCTCTTTCTTTTCCGACGTGGCGCCAATAAAACGCCACGTCATTATGGTTCTTTCTTTAAGAGACGATCAAGTGTTGAATATTTTTCAAAGTATTATTTTTGGAATAAGTTTTAACATAAACAATTTTTCTTTAATTTTATTTAATGCAATATTATTTTAAAAATAAATTTAAATAAAAATATTATTTAAAAAAAATCCATTGGGTGTGATGCTAAAATGGACAATATCAATTATGAAGGTATTTGAGATCCAGTTGTTTTTGAAAATTGTATCAGGACTATGCCCCTAACTTAGAACAAATTTCAAGTTTGAATGACAGGCATTGCCGTGAGTTTCTAAGATTTTTAGCCTTCTTTCTGCACAAGCTTTGATACCATAAACAGAATTGAGTTTGGATTAGAACAAAAAGTGATAAAATTGAAATGAGAGGTTCTCATGTATTCTTCTGTATAATAAAATCAAATTGAAAAATTACAAGCTACTGTTTCTGTTTTAAAGAAAAATGCAGAGAGGTTAAATATGTTCAATCCAGATCCAAGAATCTTGGTCTGATTGAAACATATAACATAATTAATACAATCCATAATTATACAAGGAAAGATTATAAAGTGCAATCAAGGTAATTGCTACAATACGGATAAAACCAAATATTCATAGCCGATGGGAGTATTCATTCTACAACATCATTCAAGCCATTTATGGTATATGGAATCTTGAATGAATGTTGTGATTACTGTTGTCCCATGAGAATGTTGTTGTCTGTGAACTGTAAATTGTGCTATCCTTGTTGAGCTGTTTGACTGATATGGCTTCCATTGTTGGACTGTGTGGCAGTTTTTTTTACAGGATTACTCTCCACTGGCCGTTTTGGTAACGTTTGTGTTTTTTCCTTTCTCGCTTTTTCTTTTTCAATCAACAAATATATAATCCCGACTGATAACTGTTTCTTGTTGATGGTTATTTTTATTTTTATTTATGGAAACAATTTGGTAACTATTTATTGTTTTATATTTTTTATTTTAGTGTATATATTAAAAATAATGCTTCTATCTATATATGTGAAAAAAAAGGAAATAGAAATAAAAAACAATCTCAACCATAAAGTATTTTAACTTCGTCCAATAAACCTTGAAATTGACATTCGATCTAAAAGAAAAAATGAAGCAAAGCAACTAAAAAGAATTAAAAAAAA